TAAACCAGGAGAGAGTAATAACACTGTTAGTTATTCACTAATTAACTGATAATAAACCAGGAGAGAGTAATAACACTAATATTTATTCACAAATTAACTAATAATAAACAGTAGTTTATTAAGATGGAGGTCCAGAGCCCAGGAACAGCCTGGAGGGGGCCAGGAGATAGTAATAACACTGTTAGATATTCACACAACAGGAGTTTATTAAGTCGGGATCAATTAGGATTTGTTCAGTAATTTTTGTGCCGACCACCAAACAGAGTTTAGCTGTTTATCTCTGATTTTGTGGGACTATTTGGGAGTCTTTAGAATGACCTAATGAGAGAAATATGCCGTAGGTTGGTGATCAAACCTACAGCATATTTAGATTTTCAGTATATAAAATATATGAATAAACGTATTCAAACACAATCTGATGCAGCTTGATTTCAACCTTTAACCCAGTCAGAGATTTAGAGATTAGAGATTTATCTGAAGGCACAAGTGAGCAAAGTGTTACATCCAAAGATGGATGTAATTTTGTTTTCTGGACTTAAATCATCTCTTGCTCTGCCTCTAGGATTGGATGCTGCTTCCTGGGTCTCCGTCCAATCAGCAATCACCCTATTTAAGGCCTGTGAAGCTGCATTCAGGGGCTGTGGGATGTTTGTCTGCCGTACACCTCTGTGGTTGTTGTTTGATTTAATGTGCTGTTAAGTTGCTGCTATCTAACCTGTTCAGAGGGTTTTTGTAGGGTAGGGCTGCCTTTTGTTTCCCCCCAGTTTTGACTCGGTAGGTTATCATGTAGGCTTGTATCTTCTGGTTTTCTTCTGGGTTAGAGAAGTTACCTTTTCTTTTGTTTTCGGGTAATTTTGTGTGTGATTTTGTCCAGAATAAACCTCTCTAAATGCCTTTTGACTCCTGCATTCACTGTCTACATCCATGTTGGCCCCTTAAATCTCCTAGGAATGTGCAGTGGGGGAAATAAGTATTTGAGCCCTTGCTGATTTTGCAGGTTTGCCCACTTACAAAGAATGCTTATTTTTCCTCATCAGATAGTTATCAATTTTTATCAATTCACATGATGTGATTTTCTGGAATTTTCTTTGGGATTCTGTCTTTCACTGTTAGAATGTACGTATGATTAAAGTTATAGATCGTTGCATTCTTTGTAAGTGGGCAAACCTGCAAAATCAGCAAGGGGTCAAATACTTATTTCCCCCACTGTAGCACATTGTAGGAATCAAAATCTAAAGGACGTAGATGGGAAATGGTTTTAAAGACAACAAAAACTCATATAGATGAAGCTTGTGGTCCACTAACTAAAGAAATAAAGTCCTATTGGAGGAAAGACTCCTTTTGATGGCTCTCCATGCTGTAGGCATACAGATGGAAATTTAGTAGGAAACAGGAAGTGTGGTCACCTGTAGAGGAAGTGGCTCCTCTTGGCGAAGACGCTGTGTGGGGAGACCCAGAGGCTGAGGGCGGGGCCCAGCAGCAGCGCGGCCGACAGCAGCAGGTGGAAGTGGCGGCGGAACAGCGAGGTCCCCAGCAGCCCGGCGGCCAGGTCCGTCAGGACCAGCAGCAGCGTGTGCAGGAACATCTGGACAGGCTCCGAACGCCGGGCGTTTGGGTTAGAACGGCCTGTGGGGCCTGTCCAGCTCAGAGCCAACAAAAGCCAACTCTGTGTTCATGTGAGGAGGCTGTAATCCGCAGAGGAACGCACGGCTAAACCTGGGATTTCCCGGCTACAAACAGCAAGACTTTAGCATCTTTTGAAGTCCAAAATGCACCGCTCATGTGCTCCAACATGGAGAAGAAGAATGAGAGAAAAAACCCAGCTCGAAATCCATCAAATACTGCAAACTGTTTAGTTAAAATCTCAGATCAAATCCTTTAAAGATGCAGAAATCCCAAAGTCCTGGCTCCACCGTGGTTAGCAGCTAACTTCCCGTGTCTGTGAACGAAGGGGCAACTGGTTTCTGACATTCCTCAGGCTCCAGAAATGTGCCCACAGAGTGAAATCCAGCCTGAGGTTCTGCAGACTCCAGCTTGTGTGTCTGTGTGGGTCTGTAGGTTTGTAGGTTTGTGTTTTCTTCTGCTGTGTGAAACCCAGAGTTGCTCCAGAATGCTCTTCTATTTCCACTGTAACTGGAGCCGCGTTTCTTCTTTAGACACACAGTTCCCCCCTGACATTTGTCTCCTGATCCTTGAAGGTGTCTCCTACTGAGATGGGGGGGAACAGATGAGAGAAAGCGCTTTGCTCAGCTTAATGCAGTAGCTGAGAGACAAGAACAAGATCCTTAATTAACGGGGACATCAATTAAATCAAAGTGTCCATTCTGTGTGTCAGAAAAGGGCTGGGTGTGTATTAATAGTGGAGACCTTTGCACTGTGTCCGGTTTCAGATTCACTGCCGGGGATGTCTGTCTCTGTCAATCACAGCTCCCACAGCCCCCCCCCCCCCCCCTCCCCCCTCTCCCCCCTCCATGGAGCCACTGGTTGTGGTTTGCTCTCGTTTAATGAACTCTAATTGTTACATGTGATGCACAAAAGCACCTCAGACAAGCAAATCAGCAGATTCATAAAAGCAGCAAAAAAAACTGGAGGAAAACTGTAAGAAAACGATATAAAACTCTGGAAGTCGGATTATAAACATCTGTTTTTAAAGTTATTTTTGTTTAGGAGGCTGTTTTCCTTGATCTTATAGAAAAGGGAGAAAATGAGGAACATTTTCTCCAGAATTACAAATATGAACTGGGGATGGAAGTGGACTTAATGGATTCCTTTTTGCACCAGTATTACCAGAAAACTTCACCTGATGTGTGGTTTAGGAACCATGTTTTTATCAGGAAACTACACTAAAGAAAGCTACAGGAGGTCCTTCGCTCCAGATGAAATAACCAATGACATCTGCTGACCGATTGATTCATTTTTTTAAAACTAAAGTATAATTCAAATGTCAAGAGGTACCATTGAACCCTGTTCTTGAACCCCCTCCACGGAGCCGTACTTTTCATCCCAAAGAACACAGAGACCTCCGAGGTGTTTGCAGCTCTGCTGACATCTGCAGGCGTCCAGTAAAAGTGGAAAAGACGCAAGAAATTCAGGTGGAGATTGAAGAAAAAACTACAAATGAAGTGTTTTTTTATGGTAAATGTTGGGTAGAAACAAGATCTTGGAATGAATATTTTCACTGTAACAAAAAGTTTATAAAACAGGATGCTTTTACTAAACATTAGTTAATTCCCCAAATATTAACAGTATAATTTATTAGAGTGTGAACCAGGAAAGGAGAAAAAGGCAAAGGCATAAATTGAGAAGGACGCCCTCTGGTGGTAGCAGGTGATAAAAACATAAAGTCTGGACTCAGTTTGATCAAATCAGCCAACAAAAAATGATAATTTACCAAACAGATTTTCCCAGTTATTGTTGGGGATGTATATACACTATATTCTGTGACTAGTTGTCCTCTTTAACAAGCACTTCTTTGGTTTTAATGAATAAATGCGTGCTTAATAATTAGTATTAGTATCCCCTTCCACTTGTTTTCTGTTACTGTAACCACATTTATTTGCCACTCTCAGAACATGATAACTGGATATTGATCATAAAGGCCATATAAACAATACACCAGTTACAACTGTTGAAAATTACTATTTTAATGATTGTCTTAATAAATCTGGAAAATGTATCCTTTAGTGTGGACATGGACTTTTAAAATAGTTTTACTGGTCATCAACCAGGAGGTAATGCCATAAAATGAAATAAAATATCGCATAGTAACAAATTATTAATATTAAAAATGTATTTCTGTTAGTTCTTTTTACATATTTTGTGAAAAGGCCAAATAAAGAATTTAAAACTGTTTTGTTTTATTCTTGGATCGGGCTTTAAAGGGTTAATCACTAAACCGATGAGTGACCAGTGACTTTCTCCACTGTGAGATCGATAAAGCTTATCTTATCTTATCTTATCTGATCTTAAAAAGCTGCCAGAGTTCAGGAATATTCTCCAGTTTAACAGATTCATTCTGAATAAACACGGGTGAACTGGGGTCTTGGTCTGGAGGTTGTTTTCCGTCTCCTCTGCATGGCTCCAGTCATTTCTGGTAAAAGTGAACTTATCTCTTTGGCTGTTGACAGGCTCAAAATGCTCCTGATAAAGTGGACGGCCCTCGGGCTCCAGAGTGGTGATGGTGTTTGAGTAAACAGCTGAAGGCAGCCGGGTCAGACGAGGTATCAAACAAAAGCTCTATTAATACCTTCCCAGCCTCAGTGCTCACATCAGAACCAAAACAACGAGACAATAGGAGCGTGCTTTTATTTAAAGTAAATCTGAAACAGTACGCCCGGGGTTCCTCTGACATCAGGAGGTTTAGAGGGACAATGATAGGTGGATCATTCTCAGAAATGTCATTAATTTGAAATCTGGTACCTGGAATTGAACACATGTTGGCTATGATTGCCCTGTAAAGGTCATTTTTTTATTCCCTGGTGTGGAGATGTGTCCCACAGTCTTCCCCGGCTGTAAATCGTTTGGATGAAAACAGCTAATCCTGGTCATCTGATCACAGCTGGTGTTAATCTTCACACTTATTTAATGCGTTACACTATACGCAGACAGCTTTTTTCTCAGCTGGAGTCTTCAGTTTCCATTTATCTTGTATGTTAGATTATTGTGTATGTTAGAAGCATGAGAAAACCTCATATGTAACACAAACAACTCTGAATTATAGGCTTTTTAGAACAGAAGAGATTTGAGCTCAGTTTTAAATGTGAAGGAGACACATAGACTGATGGAATTCTTCTTATACCTGAATTTATTTACATATCAGCTATAAAAATGCATCTGGAAGAGCCTGAGAATGAGGCCCAGGCAGCTCCTCAAACTCACTTTTCAATATCTGAACAGAAAAAGAAAAGAAAAAGGCTTCCCACCGGTCATTTGGACGTCTGATAGCTTCACATAAACAAACAGAGCCTGCTACTATGAGCCATATTTCTGCCACTGCCTCAGATGTGGGACAGAAACCAGACTCTCTCAGGCGCTGAGGTCTGGAACAGCTGCTCAAGAGCAGCTGACTGCAGATAAATTCAAATTTCCATCACTCAGTGTGAATTATCAGAGAGCAGTTCCTGTGTGTGGGGTGAGTTAATCACCCCATGAGGACACATTCATTAGGTAATGACAGAGTCACAGAAACATCCCCAAGTGGCTCCTGACAGAAACCAGCTACATGTTGTTTACCAGACAAATTTAGACACAATAAGATTACTATTTTAATGGCCTAAACACATCATAATGTAGCAAGAGTCACTTGACCACTTAACCAGGCCTTAAGGCAGAGTGACAAGAAAGCCCGTTATCACCCGGTCTGCAATACAAGAGAGAGAGTTTATGGAGGCAGTAACAAAAATCTGAAGGACAGTGTCATGTTTTCAGCCCTGAAGCTCCACCACTGGGCTGATTGCTAATTACCCTCACCTGCACGCTGCCGCTCCCTATTTAACCAGCTGCTCATCTGCAGCTCAGTGCGAGATCGCCTGTTGCTCTGGTCACAGCTTTCAAGCTCTGTTCCTTGTTCCACGTTCCATGAAGTTTTCTGGTTTTTTGAGTCTGCCTGTTCTTGACCACAGATTTTGCCCAGTCCTCCTGAAGAAGTCTGATCTCCTGTTGCCGAACCCAGCCTCCCTCTGAACCTGCCTCCAGCCTTCCGTTTATTGGATTTTCTGTACCTGAGCCCCATCCGTGCATGACCTGGACTGATTCTACTAAAGAGACTCTGGTTGGTTGTTTTTGTCCCAGTTTGTTCCCCGAGCTCCCCAGTCATCTCCGTTGCCCATTCTCCCCAACCTTTGGACTCCCCATTTCCAGTCTACCCCTGAGCCCACACCCTCCAGAGCCCCTTCTTCACGTTTGTTCTTATAATAAAAGTTTGGCGTACTGGACACGAGTTTTGGCTCCGTTCTGGGTTCAGACTATCACTCAATTAGCGTTACAGACAGAGAGGGAAATGGTTTTAAAGACAACAAAAACTCAGATAGATGAAGCTTGTGGTCCACTAACTAAAGAAATAAAGTCCTATTGCAGGAAAGACTCCTTTTGATTGGCTCTCCATGCTGTAGGCATACAGATGGGAAATCTCTATGTTAGAATCATTGAGATTTCTGTACTTTTCTAAAGCACATTATTTCAAATATTTGTGAGTGTTTGTGGTGTTGCAGAGCGTAGTTTATGTGTAGGCAGATTCTCCTGTAGCCTGGATGTCTGCTCCTAAGTTTTTCATTTCCCCCCCAACCACCCTTCCTTAATCTTA